GTGTGTCAGTTCAGACTGTCATGGCCAAATTCTGTCCACTATGTGGCTTAAACACCAGACAGTTATTTTCTTTGAGTTTGAGAGCTGTAAATTCCAGGTTAAAGTGCTGGTGGAATAAATCCCTGGGTGTGGCTCTCTGGTTTGCAGACTATATACTTACATGGCACTTCTTCTGCAGTGGGTGTGCACTATAAGGGAGGAGAGACAGAGAGACAGAGAGATGGAGAGACAGAGAGACAGAGACAGACAGAGAGACAAAGAGACCAAGAGAGAGATACAGAGAGAGACATACAGAGAGAGAGAAGAAAAATGCAAATGCTAGTATATCTGCCACTTCTTGAAAGGACGTTGGGTCTTTTCTTGACAATTGTTTTCTTCATGTTAACCATTTGAGATACAATTCCAATGCAGATGTTGAACATATCTGCATGTATTTATAAGCCATTTGTACTTTTTTTTAGAGCTATTCCATTCATTAACACATTTGTTAACTAGATTGGGTTGTTAACTAGATTGGTGTTTCAATTTTTGAATTTTTTATATATTCTGGATATTAATCTATTATTAGATGAATAACTGGCAAAGATTTTTTTCCCATCCTGTGAGTTGCCTTTTGTTTTTATTTTGTTGTTGTTGTTTTGAGTTATATATTGATTCTAGAAAATTATTTTCTTTGCAGTTCAGGAAGTTTTAAATTTGATGCAAATTTGATGCTCTTTTTTCCCTAAATAATTGGAGTCCTGTTAAGAAAGGCATTGCCTATGCCTATCTTTACAAGTATTACCTCTGTTTCCTCTGATAATTTTAAAGTTTCACACACATATACGTATATTTTTTCCATTTTGAATTAATTTTTGTGTGTGTGTGTAGGCTCAGAGATAGGGACTGGCTTTAACCTTCTAAATGTGGATATACTATTTTCCCTGTACCATTTTTAGAAGAGGATGTCTTCCAATTATGTTTTTGGTTTCTTCTCAAAATTAGATATTTGTGTGTGTGTGTGTGTGTGTGTGTGTAATTATATCTGGCCTCTTTTATTCAGCTGTCTACATGCTTGTTTTTGTGCCAGCATCATGCTAGTTTGTTACATGGTTCGGTTGTATAATCTAAAGTCAGAATTTTTCTTTTTACTCTAGGTTGCTTTGACAACTCGGGGCCTTCTATGCTCCCATATAAGTTTGAGGATTGATTTTTCTCTGTAAAAAATGACAATGGGGGCTGGGAAGATGGCTCAGTGGTAGAGCGCTTGCCTTGCATACATGAGGCCCTGGGTTCGATTCCTCAGCACCACATAAGCAAAAAAAGAAAAAACCCAGAAGTGGCGCTGTGGCTCAAGTGGTAGAGCACTAGCCTTGAGCTGAAGAGCTGAGGGACAGCGCCCAGGCCCAGAGGTCAGGCCCCACGACCAGACCCAAAAAAAAAAAAAATGACAATGGAATTTTATGAAGATTGCTTTGTATTTGTAGATGGCTTTTGATTTTATAATATTAATTCCGATCCATGAACATTGGAATCTTTTCCATCTTCTAGTGTCTCCTTCAATTTATTCTCTTATAAGTTTTAGAATTTTCATTTTAGAGTGTATTTGCTATTTTATTTATTTATTTATTTTTTTGTCAGTCGTGGGGCCTGAACTCTGGGCCTGGGCACTATCCCTCACCTCTTCAGCTAAAGGCTACTGCTCTACCACTGGAGCTACAGCATTTTATGTTTATGTGGTACTGAACCCAGGGCCTCATGGATGCAAGGCAAGCACTCTACCACTAAGCTACCTTCCCAGCCCCTCACTATTTTATTGTTTATATAGGGTTTGATTTTCTTTTCCCCTCACTTGATTATCTTTCCCATATTTTTAATGTATAAAGACATTTATTTTTATTTTTTAACTGTAAAAGTGATGTATGGAGAGTTTACAGTTACATAAGTCAGGTAATGAGTCCATTTCTTTTGTACACCTGTTCCCTCGTTGTCTCCCAGTTTTTCCTTCAGACTCCGCACCCACACAAGTTCTTTCCCATATTTCTGTGGTTGTGTTTATCTTCCTTTTTTTGTGTATGATTCTTACAAATATCTTCTGCATCATATATTTAGTGGTCATGATTTATATATTCTTTAAAATTTATCATGGAAGATTTTTTACTTCTGTAATTATAAAGGATGGCTTTTCTGGGCACAGTAACCAAAGTAAGCAGTTACTTTCTTTCTTTAAAATACATCATTTCATGCACTCCTGCTTTTAAAGTTTTGTAGAGAAATTTGGTATATCCTTATAAATTTGCCTTTACAGGTTTAGCTTTCTATATTATCTTTCTTTTTTCTATATGTCTAACATTTTAACTATAATGTGATGTGAGAAAGTTCTTTTCTGGTCTTATCTATTTGAGGTTTTAAAGGATTCTTGTATCTGAATGACCATATATTTCTCAAGCTTTGTGATGTTTTTCTGGTATTATTTTATTGAATACATTTCCTATGCCATTCTCCTGAACCTTTCTCTTTGTTCTATGCTTATAATTCATTTGTTTGGTCTTTTAATGGGAGGCCAGGGACAATATTTGTTACGTTCCTACTTTAGGTTTTTTTTTTTGATTTGAATTTTATTTTATTTTTTTTAATTTAATTTTATTTTATTTGTGAACATACTGTACAGAGGGGTTACAATTACATGGGCAGGATAATGCGTACATTTCTTACCAAGCATTGCAGCCTCCTCCTTTGTTTACCCTTCACATCCCTTCCCAGCCTCCCCCCTCCCCCCCAATCCCAATCCCTCCCCCCCCACCGACGTTGTAAAGCTGGTTTTGGACATGACAACTGTACTTCTCATTGTTGCAACAGGTCCACATGTATCCTTAAACAACTGGTTTTTCCCCATCTCCTCCACAAGTTATACTGACATCAAATATAGTGAAAGCAGGGGTTATACTGTGGGGGAGGGACATACAAAGCAACAAAGAGATAATCTTATAAATGCGTTAGAAACAAATGCATGAAAGAAAAAAACATTAAAATACATATCTAAGGGTTCATTTTCCTGACATCACATTATCTGACCTTTTCTGCTTGACTCATACATATACTAGATATTGCAAATAAGGGAAACCATGGGACCTATGTTTCTTTAGGTTTTTGTTTCTGTTTTTTTCTCTACTTTTGTCTGCATGTTCTATTGCAACTATCTTGTTCAAGCTCCAGTATTCTGTATTCAACTGGAAAGACTTTCAAATGTGTTTTTTATTTGATGTGTTAAATTCTTCATTTCCAGTATTTTCATTTGTTTTTTGTTCAGATTTTTTTTTTTGGTCGGTCATGGGGCCTGAGCTATGGGCTGGGCGCTGTCCCTCAGCTCTTCAGCTCAAAGCAAGCACTCTATCACTTGAGCCACAGTGCCACTTTCTGCTTATGTGGTGCTGAAGAACTGAACCCAGGACCTCATGCATGCAAGGTAAGCAATCTATCACTGAGCCACCTTCTTAGCCCCTTGTTCAGAAATTTTACAGGATATATTTAGTTGAGTTCCTCGTTTATGTCCTAGATTGTGTTCTTTATTTTACTTAGCTCTTCATGTGAGTTTTCTTAGAATTCATTCAGGCATTTTTCATTTCCTCCTTAAGTTCATTAGTCATTCTTTAAATCCATTTTGAATTCTTGTCTGAGCTTTCATCTTCATTGTCATTTGTATTTGATATTGTGGAGAAGACTTGCATTCCTCTGTTTTTCCATCTATCTTGTGTTTCTGCTCTGGGATTTGTGCATTTGAAACTGAGTGGTTGATTGGAAGTTGTAACTCTCTGAGGTCTTTCAGTCAAAATATTTTCAGTGTTCAGGCAGTGGACTAGTTGAAGTGCTGTTTCTTATCATTGGACCAGAGGTTTGACTCAGTAGCTACATATTCACCTGTGTGCTCAGGGCACTAGACTTCATCACTAGTGCTACTCAGATAGAAATAAACTAGCTGGAGTCACTTGTAGAAAGGTTTGATTGTCTGTTTGTGGGCTTCTTTCACTGTAGAAGCTTTCCTTCTTTGTATTGGACACTGCTGCTTGATACAGAGGTTTTTAGTTCCTGTCAGCTGGATTTGTTCACCGAGGCTTGAGGTTGACTTTCCCCGAGGCAATAAAGTATTCATGTCTTGGAATGATTCCTGAATGTATCAGTGTAGAGGAATAAAACAGAACAAAACTTTGCACTATCTAGGGGAAACTGAGGGACCTATTCACTCTGCCTGCTTGTCTCAATGCTTATAGATTCTTTCCAGCAGTTTACCTCCCAGCGGGGAAAAGGAGGTTAGGAATATTGTATGATTTAGAAACTGTGGAATTAAGAGTTCTCTGTTGCACTTGGCAGCAAATATACTAGGATGTGTTCTGAAGGGGAATGCGTAGTGCTTTCAGACCCCACCTGACAGTTTACCTCCCTGGGTGGGAGAGAAGGTCATGAATGTCATGTGCTTTGGACAGAGTGTGCTCAGGGCTTTTCCTCATCTAACAGCAAACACACATCCTGGAGGCCAAGTATAGCACTAAGCACATGCTCTGTCTTTATTTCTTCTGACAGGTTCAAGTAAATGAGCTTACTCTTCACCAGGGTGTACCGGGCCTCCAAGCATCACACTCTTCCCTGATGGCTCAAGGAGTAGAACATCGGGAGCAAACAAGCTGAGTGAGAACAAGAGGCCCTGAGTTCAAGCCCTCTTAATAATAGCAAAAGAAAAAAAATCATGTAAAAATAGTAGGCAGTTAAAAAAATTGTCTTTCTTTTTTGCATTTCAATAGAACTAGCTTTATTATTTATTTTTAAACAAAAGAAATGATCAAAAGCAAACACAGGTGTGTACCAAGGGATGGGCATGGCCTGGTGCTCACACACGAGCTGCTGTATCATAACGGGGCGTTAAGAGGAGAAGAGTAATCTGGAGATACAAGTTAACTGAAAGAAGGTGCTGTGAAACCACTAGAGGCGCTTCCAGAGAACTTTGCTGTAGCGGCCAAGAACCAGCGTCAACTCACTGTCTTCTCATTCTCCTCATTTTCTATAATTTTCCTCTTCTTCTCATCTGTTTTTTTCTTGAAAATATTATTTTGGTAAAACTGAAGCTCTTTGATGCTTTCACTAATGTCATTAAGGGCCCTGTGAGAAGCAGCCTTCTTTGGTGCAAATGCATATTCTTCTGGATACCAGCGTCTGCACAGTTCTTTAACAGTGCTCACGTCAATTATTCTATAATGAAGATGTTTCATGAACTGTGGCACACATTTGTCAAGAAACTTCTTATCTGCATGAACTGAATTTCCTGCAAGCCGACAGAGCCCCGGAGGGGTCTGCTGCTGTACAAAGGACAGAAATTCATACTCTGCCTGCTGCAATGTGATTGTACTCCCCTCCACTGCCTTGGTAAGACCAGACTTCGCATGATGCTCCTTACACCATCGGACCTGCTGTCCAGCAGTTCATTTGGTTATTGTATAATCGGGTTGGGACCTGATTAAGATCAGTCAGTCACCAGACAGGCCATCTCCATAATCTGGTCTTTCTCAGTGTCCAATCCTGTCACCTCCAGGTCCACCCAGACCATCCCCGGAGCCATGCCCCCACCCCCCGTGGCTGCGCCACCTTCGCACCACCCACCCACACTCCGCAACAGCCTGGCGCCTTGGGACCGCCGCCGCCCAAGCCCAGCAGCCTGACTTCCCTTTTTGGTTGATTCATTTTCCCAGTAGCCACACATACCTCTTTCTAGCACAGAAATTAATTTCTAGAGATTTCATATGGCATTCTCCTTGACATGACCTTCAAAATAGAATTAATAGAATGATTACCGCTAATCATGTAAATACTAACTACTATTTATTGACTGCTTGCTAGAGACTATCCCAATACTAGATGTTTTTTCACATTTTTCTTAACATCTTATGAGTTACTCCTATATTATTATATTGAAAAAGACCCAAATTAAATAATCAGCTCTTGGAGAGTAAAAGTAAGAACTTTTATTAAGCTCTAAAGTCTAATGTTTTCTGTTATATCACATCACCCAAAATGTAAATCACTGTAGGGAAATGGTAAAGAATGTCGTGAAGCCATTTACTGAACCAGCAATATATTTATATCACACAAAAATAGAGTTCTCTGGACCTGGCACTGTGATGCACACCTGCAAACCCAGCTACTCAGACAGCAAAGGTAGGCGTATCAGTGGTGATCCAAGCCAACTCCGAACGTTTAGCATGAGACCTATCTGAACAGCGAAATAAAAAAGCAAAACAACAGCACTTTTTCTTTAAGCACTAAGGACTATAAATAGACTGCTGTTCTTGCTGCTCCTGCTGGTGATGGTGGTTTCCTCCTGGAATCCTCCATTTTTTCCCCTCATATACAACACAAAATATGGTTTAATTTATAGCATGGAAGAAGAATCAAATTATCCATTTAAATGTCAGTTCTGTGAATGTCATTTTAATCAAAGCATTTAAAATCACCTTATTATGATTCTCCACAGCATCTCTCATAATTAGTAAAAGCTCTGAGCCAGGACTGTGGTGCTAGAAAAATTTGCAATCGACTGCATGTATCTGAAATGTCATCAATAAAAATATCAGACTCTAAAATCATCGGGAAATGTAGCCTTTTAGCAAGCCAGCATCTATGAACAAACCTCCAAGGGGGTTTTATTTTTAAAGCCTCCAAGGGGCTTCATTTATTTGATCTACTTCCAACTATGAGACTTTGAGGGAGGGCTGAAGACATCACAAGAAGAGATTCTTTCATGAACTGATTCTTCTCCTCATCGCGCTGGCTCCTTGCTGACAGTTCTTCCTCAGGAGTACTCTGCTTGAGGTCAACAAGCTTTCAAGAGAAATCTTACAATGAAGCCAAAGGCATTTGGAAAACAAAGATTTCCCTTTTGACTTTGGCAAATACATTCCACATGTAAAGCCAATGTTTTGATGAAGAGAGCTCTTTTTCATGTCTGTATATGAGAAGGAATTGCAAATTGCTATGGAGTTGTTTGCCGTAAAGAGAAACTAACTTTCGTTGGTAGCATCTTCCCATAAGTCATCTTATTTGTATAGCGCCATTTTTTCCCTCTGAGAGCCAAGAAATTGAATCCTAAAGCTATCAAATAACTTTCCACAAACTACATAGCTGGAGTGGTCAGTATTATAGCTGATGTAAACTGACCACTAAAGATAATGTGTTTTCAATAACACTGATGTCTCTCAGATGTATTCCTTGGCTAAACATGGAATATTTAAATATAAGAATGATGCAATGGTTTTTCTCTCTCTTTTTTTGGTAGTACTGGGCTTGAACCCAGGGCTTATGCTTGCTTGACAAGGACTCTCCTGCAGGGCTATGTCTCCAACCCTTTTTTGTACTGTACATTTTGAGATAGAGTCTCATTTTTATCCCAGTCACATACCTGGACCACGATCCACCTATTTTCAGCTTCCCAAATAGGTGGAATAACAGGCACTTGCCATCACACCAAACTTCTTCCAACCAGACAAAGTCTCACAATATTGTGCCCCCGCACTGGCCTAGACCCATGAGCCTTCCAATCTCAGACTCACACAAAGCTAGGATGGCAGGCATATGCTACAGTGCCCTTCTATGGGTTAAGGAAAGGTCTTAAAATCTTTTCTATCCAGGCTCCCGGTCGCAATCTCTCAAGCAGCTAGGATGACATAAGCCATTGGAGCCCGGGTTAATTCTTGTATATAATGTTCCCTCTCCAAAATGACATTTTAAAGACATATCTTGAAGAATTAGTCTATTATATAATTAACATTTCTATTAGTATAATTTAATATTCCTTATTGTTACAGTGAAGATTGTTCTTTATTTTTATGTGTCTGTTTCTAGGGAACATTGCTAGCCTTCTTTCCTACCAAATTTTCACTCTTCCAAGGGAAGAAGGTGAGGATTTTGGAGGATAGCTGAGAGCCCCATATCTCGTAGGCTGTTGGGAGGAGGAAGATGCATAAAAGGGTGAACTCTCCTGCTCTGTTGATCCTTGGTTCTCAGATGCACTATACTCAAGTTGCTCTCACAATCTTCATCAGCCCTCTAGGAGTCCCCATTTGTAGGGAAGCATGTAGAAGAGGAAACTACATTCTCCCAGTTCTGGAAGGTTAGTTTAATTCAGTGGTAAGAGTGGTGGTATTTATGGGCTACTGGCCTACTCTATTTTGCCCTCAGGTCTAAGTCATCGCTATCATGGTTTACCAAAGGCTTTCTTGGATATATCACCTGACCATTTTATCTCCATTTATGCGTTATTTGTATCCTGTTACATCAGGTCTTCTGTTGACGTAGGAGTCATGTGTTCTTCACTTTCTCTTACAATCTACCTGCACCCTTTCTGCAAAACATCCTTCCCCAGGTAAATCTGAATCCATCTCTTCTCTTGACTCCCAGTGCTCTCACTCTGGTCTGAGCAGCCATTATTTCCAGCCTAGGTTTCAGTTAGAAGCTCTTTACACATCGGTTTCATTTCCTTATATTAAAGGGTGAGGCTTTACCTTTCTGATCCCTTACAAGTAACACACTTTCCATAGACATCTATGCATCTATCTTTTTCCCTATGGTCTTTGTTCAAACACTGCCTCTGAATAAAGGCTGCCTAGTCAAATCACAAACCATTCTCCCTGTCCTTCATAATTTTAACTTCCGTAGCATATTGTAATATATATATTCATATCCCATGTGTTTTTGTTGTATGTCTCTCTCTAGCTAGAGTATGAATTCTTGGTGTGTGTTATTCATTGATGAAGTTCAAGTGCCTGGAACATCTTTGCTGAATGAATGAACAAACAAGTGGAAATAACCTTGTAGACTTTTATAATTTTTTTTCTATTTCTTCTCATTGTTTATTGGCAAACCACTGTTGTTTTACTGAGTTCTCCTTTTATAAAGGCATGCTGAAAATAGTAAAGAACAGGCACAGATATTCACACACAAGTATTCTGTTTATTTGAGCATCTTTTCCTTAGAGCTACTGACTCAGTATGTATGTTATTTCAGGTTTTGTACGGTATGTGGATGCACCAACTTTCCAGCCTGTAGTATCCATATTCTTACTACTCACTGTTTCACTGCTAAGCCAATGTCATGCATATTAGATTTTTGTAATAATAGTCCCCTACTTCATTTACCTACCTTATTTATACACTTCTTTAGAGACATTTCTTATCAAATTCTTTGGTGTTTTATTTTTTAACCATTGAATTAAGGAGTTCTTTATTTGTCATGGAGACCCCTTATCAGATATATGATTTATATTTTCTTTCTATTCTGTAGATTATCTTTCCATTTTCTTGATAGTATCCATTGAGATGGTCTCATCTTATAGTTAAGGAAAAAGTGACTGGGAGATAAAATATTTTGTACAAGATCACGAGAAAGACTCTGGTTCTTAGCTCTTCTGTGGTTATGGACCATGAGACAGACACTAACCAATGTAATAAAATGGCCCAGAAATGGTGGAACCAAGGGTGAGCTAATTCATCAGTGATACTCACCAGACACTATGTTGAAAATGTATACAATTTGTGGGGGAAGGGGTCTGGAGAGAAGAAACTGGAGAAAATGAGGGAAGAGGTGACATTGTTCAAAAAGAAATGTACTTAACACCTGACTTATGTAATTGTAACCTCTCAGTACATCACCTTTACAATAAAAATTTTTTTAAAGTGAAAAGAGTGGTGGGGAGGGTAGAAAGGGCCCTGCCTCTTCAGGCTTAGCCCATTACATCCTTCCCTACGTAGCTTTCAACTATATTCAACCCAGGCCTCTGAGATGATGATGTCCAGGATAACGCTGATACACCATAATAGTCATCACCATGGATTCCCCCAAAGACTGTGGGGTGGTGGGAGTATGGAAGGAGAGCTAGCCCATGGAGCTGAATTTCTCCCTGAACTTCCAAAGAATGAAAACAAATTATGCTCTTTGAGTCAGTGGATATTATGGGTGTACTTATTACTTTATCTCTGTCTTATCTAATACAGCCCAATTGCTATCTGAGTGAATATTTTCAGTGCTGAGAGGTTTGCTACTTTTCAAGTGAGTAAATGTAGCTCTCTTTCTATGTGAGTCAAAATATTTTTTCTATCAATTTCTCAGAATTTATACTTCCATGGATCCTAATGGAATGGATCCTAATTCTTCCCATTAGAAAAGCCAGAATAAATTTAATATTCTTTGGAATATGTCTTCAAAGGTTTAACCACACACAGCTTAAGAACGCAACCAAGCAACCAAGTCTGTTATTGTTTATTTTTGTTGTTGGATTTTTGTTTTGCCCAGGCTTTCCTTGACCTTGGGATCCTTTCCCCTTGATCTTTCCAGTGTTAGGATTACAGATGTGCACCACCACATGTCAATATAGTTTTGTAAATACAAAATAATCCCCAGAACTAGAAGCTACTGCTGTCCTACAATGGGCTACAAGTATGACATTTGCTATCACCTATTTTTTTTTATTCTTTTGCTGCTGCTATTAAGGTCATTGAAAGCAGGGAAGAACTTTTCTTCAGAGAATTTTATTCAGTCTTCTCCCCAGTTTTCATTTTAACTTTGCTGTCTAAACCGACCCAGAGAAGTCTAATAAAATGGAGGTATTTGAGGGTTAAGGGATCAAAGCTGTCTTTATATGACTGCTGTACTCTTGAAGATACAGAAAGAGAAAAGGATAGAGAAAGGGTGAGCACATGACCCCCAGGT